GCTCCCGCCCTCAGCGACCCGCGGGCCCGCCCCTCACGGCACCTGCCGCGCCCCCCTCCCACACCAGGGCCGCCGCGCCCTCCCTTGTGGGATTCTTAATCCCCGTCTTAAATAAAGTATGATTTAGTATTTTTTCCCCCGCTCCTCCGAAAGCAAGTTAGGAAGCCCGTGCTGCAGGCGCGCTGAGGGGAAGTTGAAGTCGCACCCTCCCGCCCAATCCCCCGCTCTCGGTGCAGCTCTAGGCCGATTTCTGAGCCGGTCTAAAGGCAAGGGTGGAAATGCCGTGAGGTCAATTCCATTTTGTCAAGACAATGTAGGGTTAAAATCTTGAGAGAATGCCAGTGAATGTGCTTGCAGCCTCGCTGCTTTCCTTTATTGAATTTTCTAACCCTATGTTAAACACAGTTAGTCCCACTGCATTTTTCACTGATGCCCTGCATCCCTCGCTCTGGAGATGGAGCTGCTCCATTACTGCAGGTGAGGGACTTACGGTTCCCCGTCTGAACTGCATTAGCTTCCACAAATGGGAAATAAAATTAATAAATTTTACAAGTGCCCTCTTGATCTAGCTAATTTACCTACAATTGCCCAGTGATTGTTAGCTCACCTAATGGCCGACAGTTCAATACATCGGATTAACTCCGTCACTGGTGCTTGTCTGTCCAAACCTTCCTTTCTGTGACTGATGCAAGGCAAAAACTTCAAGGAGAAAAGTCACCCGAATGTTGTCTTTCCAAACATCAGGAGAATTTACAGCTCGTAATTCAAGAATACTGTCATTTACTTTCTCCTCTTTTTCTCCCTTTAATTCTCATGACACACTGAATACCCCAAATTTGACCGTCTTCTAAGCTAAAAAACAGCGCCAGGTCCATCAGCTAGACTTGGAGCAGAAAAGAGAACTTGTCAAAAGGGTTTACTATGTATAAGGTTATTAATCCTTGCAATAGAGACTCCATCTGAAATTCTGTTGCCCTCTCAGTACTCTACAGAAAGGGATTTTCTCCCAGATTAAGCTTCTCGACCGGGAGGATATCCTGACAGAGTCTTGTTTTGGGGACTCTGCTTTTCTTAGAGCAGGCTAGGAAGCATGGGGTGGAAGTCAAGTGACTAAAATTCTCAGCTGTGAGCTCAAACTCACGGTTTCTCTCCTAGCCTTCTCTCTGAGCAGCTGTTTTTAGGTTATCGCTGGCCAAGCTGGACAGAAACGTGTCGGAGAGCGCTTGTCCTCGGAAGCACTTGGTTGCTCACCGAGATGTGCTAGACACCTCACAGCTGAGGCTGCGGCGCTCAGCGTCACCAGCTGCAGCGCCGTGCGCTTCTGGCAGGAATATGAACAGCTTTCATCATCCTTGGTGCTACTTTGCAGGGTTTTTTGCTCTTGAGCTGTCAGTGCAGCGTGAACTGGGAGTGATGTCTTAGCCGTTCTTTGAGCAATACATCTTAGGACACCGCTGACTGCACTCCTGGCCAGGATTTCTGCCTGGCACACAGTACTTGACAAAAAAACAGGAAAATGAGTAGTAAATCCAGACAAGAAATCGGGGAGGAGGAAAACCTACTGAACTGCAGGCAAAACAGAGACACATCTAGACAACTGCTAGACTCCACCGTGAACTAAGGACTCAGCTTTCTGCCTTTCTCACTGCTGGCCTCCACACACAAATGCTCCCTTTCCCATTCATGTTTTGCTTCCAGCTCAAGTCTTTACCTGTTCCACGTCCTTCTGCACCGTCAGCAATCTCTCTTCCTCAAATGAACTGAATCCCACCCTGGCTCAGGGTCTTAGCGCTTTCAGGCAATTGCTGCAAGAAACGGTTCTAAGCACTGCATGGCTCTACATCTGCAAATGAACTCCTGCTCCTGCTGAAACCTGTGCAAAATTTTGGTTATTTTTGGTACGGTGATCATTACTCCAACTCCCAGCACAGATTGCTCATACCACGGACAGACTGACTACACCACACGTCAGAAGGGTCGTCATCGTTTGCAGCGTTACTTGTAATAGCAACACTTTTCCATTAATAAAGAAATGCTTTTTCCAGTCCTGCCACTTCAAAGTTTAGAGACATCTTTCAACCAAACACTCATTTTTATTTGTATTATTCTTGTTGGCAATTTCTTGCAGGAAGACATTAAATTGAGATCGGTATTTGAAAACAAGGAGCATCAAGGCAATTGCTTGTTATTAGTCACTTAATGATTACTTTTTTAAAGCTATTACAAATGCTGCTAGTCAAAAGGCAAACTTATTGTAGATTTATAATGCTCTTTGGATTAATCAGAAACTTGTGAAACTGGAAAAGGTTTTCTTTACAAGTTTCATCTATATAATGAGGAGAAAAATGTGGCCTAACATTTAAGAAATGCTTGTGGTCAAAAATGTAATCAGCTAAGATTCAATCTCAGAAAAGAAAAATCCCCAACACTGTTCAAGTTTACAACTGAGCCACATTTTGCCATTATTGTGATGACAATACCCTTCACTTGTGAAGTGTGTAATGACTATTCTGTAGCAAACAATACAGGAAACCAGCCACACTTACCGATTTTCCCTATAAAGCCACTGGCTTTCAGATGGAAAACCCATTTATTGTTTCTTTTCAGAACTTTCTATTTGATTTTCAATAACTTAGCCTAAAAAATCTATCTGCATACATGATAGTACCGTCTTTCAAACCAGTGGAAGGAAGTTGCTAATTGCATCATGCCATGCCGTGGGTGCTGACTGCTTGGCAGCAGAAAGGCAGTTTTATCTCCAGGCTTAGAATAAACTATTGTTATAAATATGTTCTGTTCCACGTTAATCAGGGTATCGAGACAACTGTCATCTTTGCACAATGATCAAATGGGCAGCTCTGGAATTCAAGCAGCTCAGGAATTCATTAGGTGTGTGTGCAAGCTGCAAACCCACCCTTTCCTGCTCAAGTCATGCCATGTGAAGTGCAAGACAGATCCATTAATGAGGAGGACTGAGCATTTTCCACTGCAATTTACCAAGAAATTTGCTTATGAAAAGAGAGAAAAGACTCTTCCTTCCCATTATATCAGGGTCAGAGGTTCCAAGTTAATAAATATACAAAAAAAAAATAAAATAGCAGCATTGATTCAGAATGTATTAATTTTAGTGAGTTTTTTTCGAATGTATGTCAATTTGAGTGAAAGCTCCTTAGCAATATTGAAATTGGTTACAGGAAAGGGATAATGGGGATGGAAGAAAATGAAAAAGAAACCAAGTCTCTGCAAGCACAATCAACAATCTGAAGCACCTCTGCCCTTTCAAAGAAAGTAATGTGCAATTAAAACTTCTGTTAAAAATTGATTTTAGAATATGTAATAAAATAGAGTTAAGAAGAATCTGTATTATTACCCTAAAATCAATTTGTTTTCCACACCAATAACAAAAGAGAAGTTCTAAAATAGTCTTGTACATTGCAAAGAGGAAAAACATTAAAACTGCTATATCCAGCACTTCAGTTGAGCAGTAATCCAAACACTTCCCAAAGCAGAATGTCATTCACAGTCAGCTGGAAAAATCATCATAGTTTCATCTTTCCTTTCCCTTGGCAGAAGTAACTCTGGAGAAAATGGGTAATTTAGCTGATTTTTTATTTTTTTTTTTTTGAGAAAAGCAGAATGCTTTAGCACTGCCTTCAACTTCCTCACACCCTTCCCTTTCTTCTGTATAAAAAATCCCTCCTGCCTTGTGTGCTCCTGAACACGCAGCACCTAAAGCACAGCCCCGCTTCCCTGTGGCAACAAACAAAGAGCAAGAACCAGAGGAGTTTGCAGAGGAGTGGGAGGGGACTCAGCATACAAGGTAACGCTGCAGGATCAATGCCAGCACTGTCTGCTCCAAACTGAGAGCTCATCAGCTGGCAATCACTGAGGTGAGAAAGGACGTGGGGACCAGTCAAAGTTAGGGATTGTCTGTCAGCAGCCAAAGTGATGTGTCTGGAAAATACTGCAAGCAGTTCTCAGACAGGAAAAGAAGAGGTGGATGTATGGAAGTGTTGATGCTATTTCATATGGCTGAGGTACACCCTCACTTGGAGGGCTGGTTAAAGTTTGGGGAAAGTGATTCCAAGCGGAAGAGGTGGAGAGAAGAGCTGTCCCCATGATCAGGTGAATACACAGCATGATAGTCGAGGTGAAGGTTGAGAGCTCATACAGCTGCAGCACTCGAGGGGGAGACATTAATATGCAGTGGCAGCTCACAGGTATTTAAGAAAAAGAGATTTTTGGCATAATAACAATTGGGTAAAATTGGTGCAGAAAGTCAGGATGGAAATTAGAAGAAGCCCTTAAATCAGCAGAGTGAAGCAGAGGCATTCTGTGAGCAGTGAGGGCAAAAAGCGTGGTTAACCTGGAGATGGAGCTTGAGTGACCATCACACATTGCTCATCACGGTGCTGGACCGGCCTTGATGGAGGATTCAGAGCATCTATCCATCAGTGAGCCCAGAGTTTTTATACTGCTGGGAGATCAAACCCAACAAGAACACGAATAAATCCTCACCACTGATGCTGGAGTTGCTATCGGCTGCTTCAGCTGTGGTTTGTTTGTCACGCTGGTCGTTTCAGGCTGTCTGTAGGCACTAGAGAAGATGAGCACCTGCACTCTGTTCACATGAATATGAACATCTCCTCACAAGTCATCCTTTTTTAATGAAAGCCTGTATTCTGGAACATAAGATGTTAGCCTCCAGGGAAACATATCAGCTTGTCATCTGTCCCACAAGTCAACAGGTAAAGAAAAAAAAGGGTGAAATTGTTTTCTTTCCTGCTAGAATTAATTTGAATACCAGATCTTTCTACTTATTAATATTTCACTTCTCCCCAAACATGAAATGGATTGAAATATCAGATAATATCTTATGTTTATCATGTATTATTTTGATTTAATCTTAAGAAATTTCGTCAATAGGTTGCCCATATGTAATCATGCACCATGCACAGAGATCTTAATTACCCTGTTCATCAATATTCATGATAGCCCATATTATGCAGGTTATTATCCTATATTGTTATATGTGATGCCACATGAATACCATATGGGAGAGGGATTTAAAAAAGGTTACAGGCTAATAAGTGTATTTTATTCCACTCAGAAAACTCAAGAGAAACAGTTCTTTTCGAAGATCCAGAGACTGTAATTACATGCAAAATGTTAAGTCACCTTAAAGGCAAATGCTAACCCAGACAGACTGAAGATTAAAATTAAAAGCTAAAACTTCCTATTGTTAACAGTGCCCCACTGCACTAGATATTGTGCAAATATATGAAAAAGGGGACTACCATCACAAGGAGTTGAATTCTACCTTTCAGCTTGGTTGCTCTAGAGCAGAAATTATAGTAGGTTTAAGCTAGCAGCTGGTGGTCATATAATAGCAGTGAATTATAACACTTTATAATGCCACAAATATTGTATGCAATTCCCTGTCAAGTTTCCTAGGAGCTGTGCCTGGAAAATGCTGCTTTGGCATGTCAGCCTTACCACTTAATTTCATTTAGCCATGGTGTGCCACAGCTCTTGCACGTCGTGCCTGCTCCTGAGCCACAAACTCTGCAGGAGAGGGCACAGAGGCAGCTGGACAACTCAGGGGATTCACATGAAATAATCTGGATGCAGCTCCCTGCCCACTACCTGCTTCTGAAGTGTCACAGGCATCTGTGATTATATGGATTTGTGCACAGGAAGAGATGCTCCTGCCATCCTTCAGTGCAGCAGGGGGAGCACAGCCGATATCTCTGGCACACCACGGCGACTGTGACGCTCTAACAACTCACCCATTTGTAACTATCTCCCCAGAGTCTGCAAACGACTCAAGGGCCACTGCTCTGGACACACAGGAGATCAGGGCATGCAGGAGGCTCTGGGAAGGCTGAGCCACACTGAGTTCAGGGAGAAAGCCCAAGTTCACCATAAGTGAGCAACACAGCCAGCAAAGAACTGAGGAGCTGGGATTTCTGCCGAGGAGCTCCTCCCTCAGTCCACTTTGGAGGCTGGTGTTTTTCACTGAAGGGCACTGTCAGAACTTCTCAACTCGTACAGAACATTGTTTGTTAATTCTTTTCTACAATTAGTATTCTGCTCTCCCAAACACTACTTGCTGTTTGAAGCAGACTGCAAACTGATGGAGGTGCACACTTTGCCTGCAGCAAAGGAGCATTCTCCTTCTTTATCTTCACACTGCAACACTTCTCCTCTTTGACATAAACAGTGTCCAAAGCACTCTAATCCCATCCACGCCCAGCACAAAGAGAACAAACAAGGAATGATTTACGCATGCTTGACTGGGCTCTATATCTTATTAGATGAAGATGAATTACTGTGCTGGACAGGGACACGTTCTCCTGAAAAATCCATCTTTGTAGACTCTGGTGCTCAATCTCATGCCTTGTGCAAATGTATTTTAGCGTGCTATTGCCATTTTCCACTTGGTGATGTCACACACAGCAGAGCGGCCCTGGCGGAGCACCGAGGGAGGTTCCCTTGCTAGGAGACTGCCAGAGCTGCAAGCTCCAGCTCCAGCCTGACTTCCAAATGCTCCTGTGTTCTGGGACAGGTGTCATTTCCCAACTTCTGCCGTGTGCTGATGATGTCATTGAAGCAAAAGATCGAATTCTCTCCCTCTTTCCTTCCATGATCCCGTTGTATGCACTGTGCTCCCTGCCTTCGTAGCCACTTCTGAGATGAGTCTGTCCGTTCATACACAGAGAGAGAATTTAAAGTTGTTGAAACTGGACAGAAAGCTGAGGGTCTGCATCTTGTGAGAAGCTTTATGCATGGCTATGGTATGGAATTGATGCTTTCTTCTAGGGAAAAATCTGTTTCAGAACGCATGAATTTGTTCAGCTGCTGTCAGAAAAAGCCCAGTACACTTTGTCCTTAAGTCACTGGACAGGCACATTAGCCACTGCTCAAACCAACAAAGCAGTAAATTAACAACAAATAAGCTAATTTTTCCCATCCTCCTTCCATTTTCTTCAGCTTTCAGTGTGAACTGATCAAACTCAAATTTCATTTGTCTCCTCCCACAGTATCTTACTCTCTAGCCGTGTAAACACTGAATGAAATCCATTTTCAAGCTCCCTCTTCTGAAGGTAACGCAGTGACAGCACTCATGTGAGACAAGCTGCATTGCATTTTTTAATAAATCAGTCTTTACAAAAGCATTTCTAGAACTCCTCATCTAGAACTGGCAGCGTAATGAAGAATGTCCCTACCTCTTAGTCTCAGACTGGAATATTAAAATACTTTCCAACAGCTGAATTTCCCTGTGAAGTTTTTTTAATTACAGACTGTGCTCTTATTTGACTCAGTACAGCTTCACTTGCAAGAGGCAATACCCTGTGATTTCAGGGCCACAGCTCTCAGGTACCTGCTCAGTGTCCCAGCTAAGACACCAGACAAAACCACCTGTGATGCTGCCGTGTGGCTTCCTGGCTGCAGGCATGCACTGGGCTCTGAACTGAGAACTCTCACTTCACAAAAGCCACTGAAAAGCGATTAAGAAAGGTTTATTATGAATCCCCTCTGCATACAAAGCTACCACTGACCTTGGAGAATTTTTTGCATTATAGGACCAGGTCTCAGATGGTGATGATTTCCAACTGGTGTGGGCACGAGCCAGCTTCAAACATCAGCTCTAGAAGCAAAAAGCCCTGTGAGGGTAATGATGCCCTTAAGACACACACTTGTATAGGTTTTTCCTTTAAAAACAATGAATCACATCCCTTTTCCTAGCCTTCAAATAAAAAGAGCAATACTTTTCCATAGAATTGTAAGGCTGCACTCCAACATGATCTAACAAGAGTGATGCCAACTCCTGTACGCTTCGAAGGACTATTGCACAGAAAACGTCCCCTGTTCTGTAGTAGACATTCCCTAGTGCAATGTTTCTTCTTTCAGCCTTAATTGAATTTTGCAGCATTTGCTTGTACATGTTGTTGTTGTCCACAAAAGCTTTTCTTTCTCTCTCTTTTTTTTTTTTTTAATTAGATGTGCCATTTACAATTCGCCTTCTACCAGGTCAAAAACCAGAAGAACAGAAATCCAACTTTGCATAACAACCCACAATTCAAATTGCTAAATCAAGCCAAGAGTCAGTATAATGCAATGTTAATTTTCATAGGGTAGACAGAATATGAAATATTTTTATATCCCTAGTCATTAACAGAGTACATTAGGTTTATGTTCTGAAATCAGATTGTTACCAAGAGCTCTGTGGTTCAAGCTATTTTATGAAGCCAAGAAAGGAAAAATCCAAGACTTACTGGGGAGCTGGGAAATTGTCACCACGTTGAACACTCTGTTATTCCTGCCCTGCATTGGCAGCTTGGGCAGCGTTCCTATTGGAGAACTGGGAGAAGCTGAATCACAGGAACCCTCCTGCCATCTCATGCTCAGATGCCTGTGAACAAAACAGATCTTTAAATTATCATTTAAATGAATGAGTTCAGTTGAACTTATTTCCTTCCACTGCTGACCAGGAGCAGTAGGGCTTCAGGAGTTCTCTCTCCTCTTGTGCTACTTGCAATTCTACATTTTCTGAACTGCAATTTGTACTTTATTGTGCACAAGAGGGAGAAGGGCTCTATCAGCTGGAGGTCTGGGTATACTCAAACTTTGTGTGGGCTCTCCAGTGGATGTCCAGAGTTCACTCAGCGCTCAGTGTCAGTACTGGAAGCCAGCTTTATTCTCTTCCCTCTCCCAGCTGTGCAGGTGTGCACAGTCTCACAGGTGTAGACACGATGGAAAATGTCAAGCACAAGAACACAAATCAGAAAGGCCCCTGTGCCTGCAATGATGAGCTTTTGAAGTCACAGCATCTGATACTATTTTGTCCTTTCCAAACTGAAACTCCTGGCAAGAGCCTTAAAAACTCTTGTTGAGCTGAGAACAAATTGCACATACAACCAGCCCTATGGCAGTCTGCATGCATGTGTTCACTGCTAGCTTTCAGTTATGTCATCTGCTCTTCAGAAACACATCCTGTTTTCTGGAAAACATCCTTGGATCCTTTCTCCATTGTTTTGTCTCCATAGCTCATCAATTAGCCTCTAGTGAATGTGATGAAGGGCTTGTACACTTTGTTTATCAAAAACCACGTGACCCTTTCTTTGATCCTTTTACAAGACAGCAGAGTTACTGGGATAAAGTATCTTTGTTCAAAATGTTCATAATGTGCACTTCTCCAACATTCATCAGTTAATGGTATCCCACATAAACAAAGTGAATAAAAACATCAGTATCATGTTTTTCACCAAGTTTGAACTTTGCAGTCACCCACACTTCCTGACAAATAATAAATAATAAACTCCCTTGGCCTCATATTCCCAGGACTTTTCTATTTTTATTTTTCTTTTAAAGTTTTCATACAGAGTAGGGCACACAAAAAAAGACAACCTGGTCTGTCAAGTGGCTGAAAAACCTCTACTAAGCCTTATCCAAATGCTCCTACATAATGAAACCTCTCCTGTACTCCTGTCAGTCCATGAGATTGAAGTTCAAGTCTTAAAGGCTCATTTTCAATATCTCCTCAGCTAGTAGAAATCCAGGAAGAGATTTCTTTTGAGAATAAGCACAGCCTGTGTCCATGTTGCTGCTGAATTTCATCTACCTCTATGAGAAATAACTGTTTTCCTTTCTAGGAATTGCAAATAGTAGAATATATTAGTTTTCTATTCTTCTATTCCTCTTTTAAATGAAGGCAATAAGACTGAAAGATATGAAGCTTGGACACAGATGCAAAGGGTCATAAACTGACAGGAGTAAGCAAAGTCCAGAATAGCAGGGATCCATCCAGTGACAGAATCTGTGAAACTGGAAGGTATTGCTGGGACAGGCTGGGTGAAGGGACTCAAGTGGATGATTCAAATGGGGGAATCCATGATGAGCCTTGTGAGCTGTAAGATTGATAAAAAACGTGTTGGATGGACATCAGTGCTATGGTTCTCTTGCAGTCTATCACACCAGCTGGGCACATTAATCCTTGCTACCTCCTCTGGCTCTCTGGCACACAGATAACCCCACCTGATTCACCCTGTACATGAACAGACTCCAAGGGAGCAGAGGCAATGGGCACACTCTGAAAGGCAAGAGGTTCCCCTGCTTCTCACTGTGGGGCTGACCAGGCACTGGCACATCCTGCCCACACAGGCTCTGCAGCTGCCATCCCTGGAGCTGTACAAAACCACTTGGAAATGTTGCTGGGCTGCTGCTGTGGGTGACACAGCCTGGATGAGATGAATCCCACAGGGCCCTTCCAGCCTCAGCCATTCAATGATTCCATGACACTAAAGCATTTAATTCTCCCCTTGCTGCTGCTCTGTGGGTGTTGTGTCACAAATGCCTTAAACTCAACCTCTGTACATTCTCAAAAGTCACTGGTGAGATAATTGTTTGACTTGCTTGACTTCCTCGAGGACAAATTAGATTCTCCTCATATATGCTTTACCTTTCCTTACATTATTATCTTGCTCCTGTAGACCTTATTCAATGAGGCAAAACCCCTGTGATTTTAATGACAATATTGCCATAGTTACTGTAGGACTGTGCCCTAGAAAACCATCAAACTTTTCTCTTCTTTTTTTTGTAATTACCATTTTAGAGGCAAATTACCTGTGGTGCTTCCTGCAGTTTATTTATGCTTCAGAGTGCAGGAATACACAACTTGCAGCTCTTTGGCTGCGAAGCCCTTCACCCTGCTGATAGCTGATATGATTGAAGCCCTAGCCCTGATGTTCCTAACTCATAGTTGAATTTAGCCTGGTGCTTTGTGAGCAGCCATTCAGTCTCTCTGCTCTCAGGTAGAACTGGAGGGGCCTCTGCTGTGCCAGCTTGACAGCTCTAGCCAACCTTGGCGGCCTCTTTTACAATCTGCTTTGCTTTAAAAGCGGGCTGTGATGCTGGGACCACAATAAGTACAAAATATGTTACCATCAGATATACAAACAAATCTCTGAGGCATGGGAGATGTTCTTACAAGAATGTTCTGCTCTGCTTGGTACAGTCTTCTTGGTCTGAAACTTTCAGACTATACCAGAATTGGAGATAATTCAAAAGCTGGAAAAATAAATCTCTTCTCAGAGATACTTGCTGTCATTTTCAATGAAAACTTAATTAGTTTTCTCTCCCTGTGACCAAAAAGCATGTCTTTTCTATTGTCAGACCTGGAAGAATTATGAAACTTAAGCACAAGTACATGTCGTGATGCTAATGAAGCTTTGCCTTAGTTTCAATCAGCTCTTTGCAGAAGCAATCAGACTAAATCACACTGAGTAAAAACAACCCACACCCAAAAAACCTAAACCAGCCCAAAATCCCATTTTCTCCTACCTTCGAAGAATTTAAGGAAATAGTAAAAAATGAAGAGGATTTTTACTGTCTCTTGACCTCTAAAACACATGAAAATAAAGAGGTAAATAATATATAACTTGAAGCTGATAACTCTTTTCTTCTGGTTAATACTTGACTTATGCTCAAGAAGAGCAGCCAGAAGCAAAGTCCACTACAAGAAAAAGAAATTTCTACAATATTGGTTTTATTTTCATGAATGCTTAAGAGAGTCTTTGCTCATGAACTATGTATCTCCTTAAAAAGAATTTATTTCATGTTGTGGTCTTGGGGGAATCTCTGTGGAAACAGTACACATGGGAATGCATCTGTGAAATAACTCCTGCTTTCTGTAAGCTAGTTTGACATAATTAGGTGGAGAAATAGCCTATTTCTATTGTTTTTATTTTTAATATACAAAGAGGGATGTGTACTTGACTTAAGATACGAACCAGAGGACAGGTTTAACTCTGAGATACACAACTCAGAGTTAAGGTCAGTACAGAAAATATCAAAATACTTTAGCTTTAGGAAATACCATCTCTGTATGTCCACATACTTTCATGCCACATGTAGAATTCAAATTATTTCTTATATTCATATGGTAAACACGTGCATGGTGATATTTCCTTTACTGCACAGAATTTTACCTTTCCAGCTTGACGGAATGTTGGGATGGCTTCCCTCTAAAAGCCAGTGAGGATGGTGTCTGAATTGCTCTGGATGTGTACAGAGGGGGAAAAAAAGAGAGGAATAACATCTGCAAACTTCATTATGATGATAAATGTGGAAGGCTGGTGATTTATGCAAATAGTCAGGGTTGCCTCTAAGGTAGGATGTACCTCCTGCAGTCTGCAAGAACAAGGCACAGGCACTTGGGAAACAGAAGAACAGAACATGTGACCACTGAAATGAAGTTGTGTGTGGATGCCTTAATTGTTTTGTCTTACCCTTACTGAATATGACAGCAAACCTTCTACAAGTAACAACTTGATGAAAATGCTCCTGTTTAAACTCCAAACAAGGTTGGAGTTAACAAAACATCTCGGTGTAGAGATGTTTGAACGTTTTATCCTAATATTTATTGCCAGAATTATTGCCTGTAAGCCCTTGACATTGAACCTCTTCACTTTGTTAACTGACAAACACAGAACAAAAACCGACTGTGTCTGCTGAAGAATGCAAATATCGGGGAAGAGATGAATACAGACACACCAAGGGCAGCCAGAGAACCCTGTCTGAAGTCATTCTAATGGTCCCAGGCAGTGCAAGCAAAATAACTGAAAGGGGTGAAATAGAAGGATCAGAAAAGCTGGAGAACTCTGGGTTAAGGAAGTTAAGGGGAAGGTCAGGGGGTTTCTGAAGAGCAGTGAGAAGCTGGGCAGAATTTATGAATATGGAAGGGATCTCAGTAATGCCCTCCTCGCTCACTAAACCGGACAGAAATTAAGATGCTCTGATGTATACTGACATTTATCTCCTTCCACTGTTCTCATTAAAATTAGCCTACAGTTACTTGTAGCTTTGCAATGTGTTGAGATGAAGAAGGAAAAAAAGTAGTTTTGAGAGCAGCTAATTTGGAATTAAATTAGTTTCTTCACAGATCAGAAGATATGTACATAGCAGAACCTCATTGATTTATACCAGCATGTAAGAAAGAGCAAAGGATTTTTTTTAAAGGAAGGTAGAAATAAAACAGTTTGGGCTTCCAAAAAGTAGTTTTCAACACAGAGTTCATTCAAAGAAGCGGGCATTTTCCCACTGACTTCAGCAAGGGCCTTTCAAACCTAGGAGGTAGCACAGCCCACCTGGAATAAGTCAGCTGTGCCTTGGGAATGATGCAGAAGGTTGGATAAATCACTGCACTGGGCACAGGCTGTTGTCTGAAGGACAGAGATCTTCACCCTGCCAGGTCCAGCCTGAGAGAAGAGAAAAGCATTCCAACCAAAACACACATCCACATGTAGTTCTGAGGGCTTCACTTTCCAAACCAGAAGAAAATATAACAGAGGTGGAACAGGAAGAATTTTCATACAGAAAAATATGGTTAAAACTTGTTTAAAATCAAAGCCATCCTGTG